TAGAAGGATATAATGAATTATATAATGCAATTATAATGAAATAGCAGAGGCAAGTATGAAATACATAATACAATGAAAAAGGCATGGTGGAATTAAAGTAAGAGTGTAAAACAAATTGAATACATAAATAGACACATAAAAGTAAATATATATATATATGTAAAAAAAAAAAGCTGTCAGATTACTTTGATTGGTTGGCTTAAGCCAACAAATTCGAGCGCTCTGAGTCAAATTGCACGGCGAGGGAAGACTTTATATATTTATAAATAATTAAATACAAATATATATGAAACCTAATTTAATTTTAAAATCTGAAAAAAAGTGATGTATATATTTAATATAAGATATTTTATTTTACATGACATTTTAACTGTGAATGCCAAAATTCTGTTAGCTTTTAATGCAATAAAAATATATGTGTATGTTGTGATGTCTTACGTGTAGAAAGTTACAGGGTCCAAAATAGGGCTTGCCAATTTCAGTGTTTGCACATTAAAATATTTGCCAGATTGGTTTGCTGAGCCCATGTTGCCTTTGAGATCGTATGGTAGCCCATGAATGAGAATTATCCCCATCACGGTATACCATTTGCAAAGGTATACAACTCAGGGTATTGAAAATGTGATATGTGAAGTCTGTTTTAGTAGCCACCTAATCACAAACCCTGGCCAAAGTTAGCTTTCATATTTGTGTTGCATTTTTCACACAAAACCATACTTACACTGATGATATCGCCATTATACATTTTACTGTGCAAAACATCTATATTTATGTTAAGCGATGTCTCACAAGTTCAACAGTACCAGCCATGTACAGATTTTATGATGTTTTGGAAAGTTACAGGGTCAAATATAAGCATATAATTTCTGCATGTGTTGTCAGGCAGGTCTCCCTATATATAATGAATGAAATATAATTATATATAAATAATATAAAATACACTTAAAATGAAATAGAGATAGATAAATAGATAGATAGACAGACAGATAGATAGAAAATGTTTTGTGTTTGTAAGAAATCCAAGAGTGCTATCTTTTTTTGAGAATATATATAGCATTTTCTTGCCTCAGATTAAGCACCAGGTGGAGGGGAATCAAGCTAACCCATTAGGGCCATTTTTTGTTGATATTTATATAAACATCAAATATACTTAGAGTTAAATATAGGTGACATATCAGATTGCATGGTGGCACCTCAGATAGAATGGAAAGGGACACTTACCTGAAATTATCCATATTCTATTTTTCTCTTTTACATCTTTTGGCTATATTGGCTGTATTGGAATGTCATTACATTTATTTTTTACAGGTTTTCATGAACTTATCTTACTGCTTTAAAGCAAGCCTCCATAAGCAGGGCCAGGTTTCCCACCAGGCACCTGCATATAGGTGCCTGTGCAGTAAGGATGCCTGTTTTCAACAGTTATAATCTGCCTTTTGAGCTTAAATAGGCTGGTGGGGAGATAAGTACCAGGAGTTTTGGGCTGTTTCCTCTGTAGTTTAGTCAGCATTAATAGCAGAGCTGTAGGAACTGTGAAAGAGAGTGTAAAGCTCAGTGTTGTCCCAGCTTCTCCGGCGTCTGTGTGTGAGGCTAGACAGGAAGTGGAAGAGTTCACTTCCCATCTGCCCACTAGGAGCCCTTTCATACAGTAAATGCATTGCAGGCAGAGCAGGTGACTTAAAAACTAAATACCTCATATACCCAAGCTAAATTTTACCCAGGCCTTTATAGTGCAACTTTAACCAATCAAACGTTTAATCTTCTTAACACTAAACACCCTATGTAATCTAACTTTGATGTTAAGCCCTCTCTAACCTCTCTGTACACGCAGATCAAAACATACTACATTACAAGCAGAGCAGATGTATGCACATACATACATTTATATGTAGCAGTTGTTACATTTTAATGTTTTTAGATGTTTTCAAGCCTACAATGTCCACTTACAAAATTCATTCATCAATTACTTACTTTATGATCCATTTGTTGTTTGGGGAGAGCTCGGCTCCTTAGACTTTTGAGTCTACAAACACCTGACGTGTAAATCTGGCCCTGTCTATAAGTCAGTATCCCTTAAATTGTTTTAATTTGCAGATGTAGATGTAAGAGCTATATCACAATGTATTAAATGCAATATGGTAGTCTATAAAGTACACAGTGGCACAGTAATTCTAAGTTTTTACAGTTTTACAGAAACAATCAAACTTTATACAGTTACAGAGATCTACTTGAGGTATGTGGAGTGAACTATGGAGGCAATGTTATGTGATTTTTAACTACACAAAATTGTTCAGAAACTGCTTCTGGAACAAGTGTAAAAACTGGCCATATACAGGATTGAAACCATAGGTCTCATGAACTGGCAGTTATTATTTAAGTCAATAAATGCATTTTTAAATGTAAACCTTACAAAGCATTTTCAAATGTTCAAACTTTCGATTAGAATATAATATATAGCTTTATTTAATAACTGATGAACTATTCAAACATAATATGATATATTATTATATTTATTATAAAAACTACTAGCTAAGTAACAAACCAGTTTATTGAATACTTGAACATTACTATGTATCCAAAGAACTGTGTGCACCATAAGCAGTAACTACACTGTCAGATTACATTTAACTGAACATGCACAGAGGACATTATTCAGTTTTGTTTTTAAAGGAATAACTGCACTTTTTAACCAATGTGTGCAATAAAAATATAAAGCTTGTTCATGCTATAAAATTATTTTAATATTTTAACCTCATAGTTTATTTTTACTTAAAGGAACACAAATGTGTATTCCTGACATTATAGTGCAAAAATCACTATCTAGCCCTCCCAAATAAAGTAAAACCTTTTTTCCAGTACTGCAGAGGTCTGACTGCCCTGGCTCCACCCCTGATTTGCGTCCATAGCTGACATCATCAGAATTGATTATCTCAGCCAATCACAATACTTTCTCATAGAAAAAGCATTGGATTAGCTGAGATCGTCAGTTCTGAGATCTCAACAAAGGAGGCGGATCGGGGGGCAGAGCCAAAAGCCAATCTACATCTCCTCATAGACATAAATTGAATCAATGCACCTCTATGGGAAAATGTCAGCGTCTCCATGCAGAGCGTGGTACAGACACCATAACAATTACATAAGGCTGTAGTTGTTCTGTTTACTATAGTGTCCCTTTAAAGACCATGACCACTTTGTGATTTGAAGTGGTCATGGTACAAGAGCATTAAAAGATACCTGTGCACTCACTCAAATCTAACAGGGGATTTTAGTAGCACTCCAATAGGCATTACATTTCAAGCTTATCCTACACTAATAATTCACCTTCCTGCTTTTAGCTGAAAGGCAAAATATCTAATGAGACAGAAGTGATTATGGTGCCTGTAGTTTCTATGTGCAAAATACTAAAATGTATATAATGAATATCCTTAACTAATCTATACCTTAGAAACCATATAATTTTTCATATTAAAAAAATGTTATCCGTAGATCAATAAAGCGACAAAATGCCCGTGAATTTTATGCATCACTAACTCTGTCTTAATAGCAACCCAAGTAAAGCGTTCTGTAAAAAAAGGGGACTGTAATCTAATATCATTATGAAATATTGATTGGCACTGTCTAAAGAGCATTGTTATAAATTTAGGACAAAGTACAACTTAATTGCAACAGAAGAATTGAAATCTATTATTAAGTCTACCTCATGTAATTTAAAAATGTATTCTACAAAAAAAGAGGCATGGGATTATTATAACAAAAAAAAGAAGACTGCATTTTCAGTCATTTTCTTTTGAATTTTTAATCTGACTGATATTTATGTCAAGCGTATATAAATCTTTCAGTGCAATATCTTGCACTTGAAGGGTTAAATTATCTATTAAATTTGGTTTTGTTTTACTTAACCCTAAAGACCCAATGCCTACAGTGCAGAAAATTATTTAAATAAATTAGATCTACAATCACAATTTATATTAAGTCAACCGAGGAAAATAGCTCAATATATCTTGTATTTTTAGTAAGAAAAATGTGAGGTACTAAAAAAAAAAACTAGAGAGAGATTTATTTTTTTTACATACATCAATTCAGTGGAAGACGATTCCCCCGTCACTCCTTCAAGAAGAAGGTATTTTTTTAAAATGATGTAAAATTTGTCATCCCCTCAAAATTATCCTGATAAAAGAAAGTGACAGATTATTTAAATGCGCCTCAATCATTACTTTTTTACACGCCATTCATTTTTCTGTCAAACTATTATTTCAGCTACTATTGCTTTTTTTGTGATGTATAGTGAGACATAAAAAAACTGTTCTCCGTGCAGCCAAAACAGTGATGTTATTTTGTTACTGTATTTGATTGCATCCTCGTAGTCTATTCATTCTAGTTGGCATTTAAAGATTGAACCAAGCATGCCACACTCTACACCTTCCTGCTTCGTAGCGTCCTTCCACAATTCCTCTTATCTGTAGCTGTGATGATGCACATCCTTCTCCTTTTCTTTTTTTTTTTAATGGAGGCTTGTTCAGTTTTCTTGATGTTTGTGACAGGCCACGATAGGGGAAACTCTTATCGCTGTTGGGCTTGGAGGCCTCCGTAAATTGAAAATTGCAAATGAAATCCACTGGGTTTGAATTCATCAGCTATTATGCCAGATGACCTTTGGCAGCTGCTGATAAAAATGAGAGAATGTTAGCTCTGATCCAATTTTCAGCAATAACCATTCTTTTTCAAATCCATTCTCTGCCAGGCAGCAGACACATGGGAAGTGAAAATGATAGGGTTTCAAGAGAGCTTCATTGTGTTGCAGATTAAGATTTTCTACCCCTATTTCTCGAGGTCGCCCCCCAGACCCCTGTCTAGTATCTACCTATTGTCCAATCAGTTTCAATATCTGCTTCAGCGGACATGTAAGCCACCCTTACAGATAAGTGTCTACAGCAAAAAAATGTTGGACTTAATAGTTTTGCTTAGAAGACATCAAGGGTCATAGTAAACTAATATTGACTGGCACGTGTAATTTTAATCTTACCTTTCTGTGGAATGTCAGCAGAGATTCTTTCACACTTGGATTTGTGCAAGTTTATTTTTTTTCCTCATTTTGGCTCCTGTGAAGTTGCAGTTTATTTATTTTTGCATACATCTTTATATTCATGAATCAGTGATATTTAGAAAAAAAAAAAAACTAGTAAAGACTAGCAGGTGCAGCTTTTGAGCTAAATGATAGAACCTGAAAACTGGATAATGCTGGAAATGGCAATACAGATAAACAATCTATTAGCGCCTTCCATGTACATTTTCTATTAAAATAAATTACATCCTGCCATATGGATTTCTCATTGAATGGAATATGTAACTTTGTTGACAAGTGTAGGCATGAATGGGTATTTAAAAGTCCTATCCAGACAAGCGTCATCTGAAAAACTCTTAGTCACAGTGTGCATCCTTATCTCTACAGGTGGCCAAAAAATAGAGTTCGAAAGAAAATTCTTTGAATTTCAGTGACTTTGTCTTCATAGATATACAGCAATTACACGTCTCATTTTGGAGACACAGAATAATTTCCATTGAGTCTGAGCATATTTAAAATCTTGTTACCATTTGTAAATTAAATCTTTCTCCTTTTTTTTCCTCTTTTTTTGATTTTAGCACTTAAAAATAAGTCTGTGCCAAACATGCTCTATTGCCTCCCCATCTGCAAACATGCAGCAATTAGAATACTTTTTGCAAAAATTTCCATGCTTAAAGAATATGAGATGTGTCATTTGGAGTAGCCATGGGGATCTAGTAGTACAGGTGCAAATAAATTGTTACCATTATAACAACTTATTTTAATAAAGTTTAAAACCATTTAACTTGCGGGCGATAGACCATGAAAAGGTAATATTTACAGAGCAGTAGCATTCACCACACTGAGTATTAGTCCCCAGCTTTAGCCCCTAGGCCTGTATGAAAATGTGTAACTTAGCAGATACGTAGAACAAAAGGAAAATGCAGAATGTGTGGTCCGGAAAAGTAGCGGTCGGTGTAGATGCACAACTGAGAGTGGGTCAATAGGTCGGCATGACAAAAACACTGCAAATGAGGTAAACAAAGCTATTTGCATAGGCAGTTTTAAAGTATGGAAACTTTTGGCCTAAAGGGCGAGTACAAATGAGTGGCCTTTATTTATTTATTTACATATTTTTTTTTTTTTTTTTGTGCAAACCATTCTCAAGGTCCAGATCAGGCCTAGGAGCATTGAGATTGCAAATTAGCAAGCGCCACAGAGCTGGGCAAGCAAAGTACCTGCACAATTCTTGTCTGTAGTCTCACCAGTCAAGTACTTTACCAATAGGCATCCCAATGCACCTCCAATTGCTTTTAATTAGAAGAATAATGGTGCTGTTAGACTATGGCCTACATAATAAATATGTTAGTGGTTTAGGGAACAATTGTCCCCCTGCCACACTTGTCCCCCTGCCTTTTAGCAAAGATGTATTACTAGAGCTGTGTGTATGTACATGCTATGCAAGCGTCTCAGCAGCAGGCAAGTTAGTTTGAACAGTCGTTGGTCAGATAAAAGTAGGATCTGACCCAACGTGGCTGCTCAGCCAGATAAAAAAAAGGTGGTATTTTTCAAAAAAATCAATATACCGTACATAATTTAAAAATAATCTTTACATGTCATTAAATGTAATACACTTTTAAAAAATGAGAGGTAAGATTTTGATGACAGTTCTTTAAATGTACTGTACAAAGGATCCTCCCGACCTATAAAGGAGTTTAGCTTGCTGAAGTGGCTTATGTGTGAAGAGTGGGTCCTCTTTTTCTCATTTTGCATAAAGTGCAGATTAAAATTTAAATTGACACTTTAATAAATAAATCTTGTTACACCTACTTGCCTTTCAATCACACACCAGACATCAATTACTTCCTGGTTGTTTAGCTCAGTGGAGTAGAACAATTGCTCTGAGTACCTTCCTTGCAAAGACTTTTTTTATCGAGCTGCATTGGGAAGTCTGTGATTGGACAGCCACAGAAAATCTGGGTGGGGTTAGAAAAGGAGAGCTTGCAAAGGCTGCAGAAAAGAGATCTAATGCTTTGCTACTGTTTTTAGATATAGCAGAACAATAAAAAAAGTATAATTAAAATATATTTGGGCTATATATACTCAAGGGTGTTTTTTTTGTTTTGTTATAAATTTGGTCAGTGGAATGTCCTTATAAACATGGAATAAATCTCCTATTATCTTATAGTATGCATTTAGAGTTAACAGCCGTTAACTTCCCTTCTTACACCAAACTAAAGTAGTTGTAAAGTTGAGTGAGTTAGTGATAACATATGACACCTATGTGTCATTATTTAGTAGAGACAGACCCTATTTGGAATTTGCTAACTTAACCGACAAGAAATGGCAATGAAATGACTTAAACATTTTCAAAACATTTACACCTCTTAAAATATTAAAATAATGCTCTAACAGTGAATATGATGAGACAAAAATGTTGCACGTCTTCTTATGGTCGCAATGAGAAAGCACATAAGTCAAGTTAATACAATCTGCTATCATTACCGTATAACAACAAGCACAGATCTATTGTTTGAGTGGACAGATTGCCTTACCCAATGTACTAACAATGATCACCTGATTGTACGTTGGCAATTTCAATATTTTCAATACAACACAAGACCACCACAAGCAATCTGACTGTACACATTGGAAGATAGACTGGGCACATTCAACCTTATGGGCTCATTATTATGTATGCAGATAAGCAATCTAGTCTGCACACATAATTTCTACTTTAATAAGCTATGGCAGCAGAGCATCCTTCCAAACGCTGCCTTGTGACATGTACCAGTTACAATTATTATATTTAAAATTATACATTGAAATTTTCATAGAAATGTCAGATTTACAAATTTAAATTAAATGATTGCATTATTAATAATGATACTGTGTAACTTCAGATACTCTTGATCGGCAATAATGCATTTCATGCTACCCCTAGGTACAAATATTTCAGAGATGCACACTATGCAAGGCTTCTTCCAGTGCCATATTTAACATAAACATGACAAGGCTCACAGTCACAGAGAATTGCTGCAACAATGATGTCATAGTTGAGCATATTTTATATAAAATACATTTTCATTTTACAGTATTGTATTTAAAGTTTTTGGTAAGATATTTCATGGAGTGCTCATTAAGAATTATTTTTTTCCTCTTGTACTTATGTTTCACCATAAAAAATATAAAAGTCTGCATTAGCATGTCCAATTAGACTATCGGGGTTATTTAGTAAAGTGCAAATTCAAGGTCAATTCAAAGAAAATTTATTTTAAGGCCAGAGTAGCTGAAAAGGAAGCAGTGCTGACTTAGAGAATGTTTCCAGTTTGTCTAGTTTGACTTTAAACTTGAAATTCACCGTAAATTCTCATTTAGGGAATAACCCTGTATATGGCTCCTACAAGAATCATTACATTTCTGCGGATGCCATGATTTTGTATTTTTAACAATTTTTTTTTTGTTTTACCTTTTTTTTATTCAAGAAAAATTATTTCTACAAAAAAAATCAATAGAGGTGTAAACTTTTTGATTTCTCTAAACATCTCTGAAGTTAGAAATTGTTATCAACTTAAAACAAACTTTAGGTTTGATCATACTTTTTAATCAATCTACATATCTGTACCCTGTGACACCAAACAAAATCCATCTTGGCATAATCTGATCTGGTTATTTGCAATGTTAATGAAAGTAGGTGATATGCGTTTCATTAATCTTTTGTGTTCCAAATCGACATTGAAATATATGTAGTTTTCTTTAAAAATTGAACTATCACTTCCCAGGATTTGTAATTTTAAGAGATATAATTAAAAAAAGAAAAATAATAAAAAGAAGGTGAAATAAAGGGGTTAAAGATCAATTTAACAACCGAAAACTGCAAAGTGACAAGCTTGCAATCACCGGTTAGTAGAGTATGAATGAATGAGTGATATTCAAGAGGTAATTATTATATATGATAATATATGAAGAAAATCAAAATAAGAATTTGGATTTAATATTTGTGAAGTAGTTTACAATTCTAAAAAAAATATCAAGACCAAAAAAAACGGAACTGGTTGTACTTGTTTATAATGTAATCATTGCCACTTTGGCCTGGAACAGGAATCGGGAGAGGAGGCAGGCCTTCTCAAAGGGGCATCACCAATGACAAATATTGCTTCACCTTTAATGTGTGGACTTGCCCAGAAAATAGGTGGGCCCATCTACTGAAGGAGCATGTGAGCCTGGTGTCAATCACGCCAGTCCCATAAATAGCCTCCTGTTTCGTCCCCTGCATAGAGGACCATGAAGGAAATGCTGCTGATGTGTTTTTTGCATTGGCCTAGCACAGGATCCTAAAACTGGGACAGTCGCATAGAAAAGAAGGACAGTTGGGAGGCATCACAATTTTGTTATAATATAACATAACAATATCAAATAATTAGAGCTAGTAAGAATGTATGACCCAGATAGGAAACATTATTCATAGAAATATAGATACACATACAGATTTGACACATTTAGGGTTTGTGGCGGAACCAACCTCGCCACTGTGCACTAGAGGAGCCTGGTTGCTCGCCTGCTCCCTTTAGACTATGGCCCGGCATTTAAAACCTTTTATTTTCTCTGCAGAAAGGCTTATTCGTGCCTTTCTGCCGGGGTGTTCGGTAGATTCAATCTACCGAACAAAGTACCGAACGATCGACCACCTGGGAACTGGAGTGTGCCGTCAATTGGCTAACCGCAGCTTAATTGACGAACGCTTGGTGGCCTTTGTTCGTTTGCCGAACATGTGGCAGCGGCCATTTTAACTCCCGAACAGCCAGCGGTGTTCAGCACCCAAACTATGGAAATGGAAACGGACACTTATTTGCGCGAACACCGCTGAGCTGCCAGCCTCCTTACCTATGCATTCGGTAGTATAACTGAATGCCTGTTCATTCAGTAGTTTAACCGGATCAACAGCATCACCCCAGATAGCCATGCCATGGAGCCTATTCGTGTATGAAAGACTATGGGAAAGACTTTGGCTCCATGGCGATTGAACTGTATGTATGTGATCTGAGCGCCATTTGGTAATAATGTGCGCTCAGATCCAAGCTATCTGGGGATATGTAGAATGTATGTGTTTTATTCATTATTTGCAACATTGGGTATTTTTGTGTCTGTTTACTAACATGTGCTCAA